CGGGATCGTCACCGTTGAAGAAAGAAGAGTAGAACTTTGGTTACAGTAAATTCGACCTAGTTTTTTCTTAGAGTAACTCCAAGGTTTGTCGAATGGCTAGAAATATTCTCCTGTTTATTCTGCATCTAACCATGTGTGTTTTGATGGAATTCGAGCAGGGGCCGATTTCATCAAATAATCGCCCCCGTCCTTTCATGGATGAAACAACACGATTTCACTAACACTGTGGTTGATAGTTTATATTTGACCAGGAGATATTTAGATATCGTTTGGCTCGCGATGCAAATCACTTTCTTCGATCTTTATAATCTCTCTCATATTGCTTATATGTGATCTAAAATTAAATATATTGATACATCCTTTCTCTCTGTTCTCCCCTCCTTGCTAAACTTCATTGTTCAGCGTTATTTCTCTTCTTCTGTTATTGTTGTTATTGTGTAATATACTTTTTTGATTATTATTTAGTACACTTTTATTTTTTCTTCACTTTTTGAGAGCATGTAATGGAGTCATACCTCGATTTGTGGTATTTTTGAATAAAAATTAACGGTTTAAAAAAAATGTGCTTATAGAAAGAATTGTCGAACGCACTTATATAGTCACTGGAGAAACAGAAAGAAAGATCAGAAAACTGTTCGTGAACGTTACTGTTTTTTTCTTTTTCTTTTTTCTTCTCTACACATTTGTATTGAAATAACCTTCCTAATTCGAAAAAGAAAGAAAGACACTTTAAAACGAGTAAAGTAAGTAAATAAGCGAAGATTAAAGTAAACATACACCGATAGGAAAGACTTTTCGCGACACGTGAAGATCGGGTAAAGATGATAAACAGCAGGATTGACATTTCGATTCTCTTGCCAGCAGAGCTCAACGATTATGCAGGCCCTAAAATTACAGTTTGGTTTTTGGTACTCGTCAATACGGTTGGCACGATACGCAGTCTTATTCACATGTTCTTTCACGACAGTGGTGCGCAGTCGATTGCAACGATGAATTTAAATATAAGCGGGGCGAAGAACATCGTGGCGCTCCTTGGCCAATGGGGTGGCAGTCAAGTCATCATGGCGTTTATTATTTGGATCGTACTATGGCGCTATCGAGAGTTTGTCCCTCTCATGATCGCCGAAGTTGCTATCGAGCAATTAGTACGAATTGTAATCGGACGCATGAAGCCTGTCGTTACAATGGGTACCCCACCAGGTGCACTGGGAAGCAAGATTTTACTACCGATAGCGACAATAATGTTCATCGTCTCTCTGATGCGGAGTCAAGCATGATCTCGGTAATGTTCTCGATTCAACAATTTATTTAAACTATTCATTTTTAATGTTTATGGAAGTAATAAATCAACAGAAACATGCTGAAAATATTCATTATCACACTTTTATATACATTGTCACACAGTTATACACTTTTGTGAAACTCCCTCCAACTCTTTGCAGAAGATGGTGTTTCAGTTATATACTCAAAAACAGTGTTATCATGGTTTTTTTTTAACCTATTTAACATCTGATATCACTTTCGGTCACAAACTCTTAAAATGGTGGTCACAATCTTTTAACCGTCGGTCACAACCTCTTAAGAGACGGTCATCACCTCTTACGTACCTGTCTGATGTCGGGGGAATGTTTTTCAGGCAGTCACAACCTCTTAAACAATCAACTGTACATATGTAAACTCTCTTGTGGTGTTGTTACTTCGGGTGGTAGTGTGTATAAGTATCTTTTACTTTTTTTACTTTCCTACAACAGCTCTTTCTTTGTAAAGTCAGCTTTGTTTGTAAAATAAAATCAAGTTCAAGTATTATAAGTGTGAATTTTATTTTCTTCAATACACCTAAAACAATTCGTACATGTAACAACAATTTTTGTTTTTGCTAATAAACAACAACAACATATAAGTGTGAGAGATGCGAGTATGCCTTTGGTCTAAAGTGTAACTCCTTCACGTGTGCGTGGAGAACTAACGAGGGAGGTCCACCAACTGTCCAATCGCTTTGAGACGAAACCTAGTGGACTATAGGTAGTCGACCATACTAATTCCGAATATCGACAGGAGACGGGCAGTTATGCCCCCAGAAATCCGTTTTCTGGAAAACCAGTTTTTCAGAAACTGTAAAAAATAATCAAAACCTTTCTTAATGACGCATGCTTGTAGACCGCAAATTTCTGATTAAAATGAGGCATCTTCCAGCTCTACATGACTTTTACTTGCAAAGTTATAGAATTTACAAGAAAAGCCCTAAATTAATTTTTTCTTTATTTCTGTAGCTTTGAGCTGACAATGAACATTTTAGGGCTCTTCTTGTAAATTCTATAACTTTACAACGAAAGGTCGTGTAGAGCTGGGAGATGCCTCATTTTAATCAGAAATTTGCTGGCTACAATCATACGTCATAAAGAAAGGTTTCGATTATTTTTTACAGTTTCTGAAAAACTGGCTTTCCAGAAAACGCATTTCTGGAGGCATAACTGCCCGTCTCATGTCGATATTCGGAATCAGTATGGTCGACTACCTATAGTCCACTAGGTTTCATCTCAAAAGCGACCTCCCTCGTAAGAGGGACTGTATGAAATCTATGCCTCGAACGTGTATGTTTACATCAACTTTACTTGGATGCTTCTATTGTACTAATCATTCACCAAACGGAAGAGCATCCATAAACCGAAACCTGTCGAGCAAATTTTACTCTCAGCGGTCTTTTGTCGCTTGGTAAAAACTAAAGGATTTTTACCCAACACACGATACTTTTAAAATTAAAAACTTTTTAAATGTATCGTAAAACGTGTCAAAGCCTTCTGTTTATAAACGAAAATTTGCAAAAACTGACTTCCTGTAGGATGTGATTTAACAGACAGTGCTAAATAACTTTTTTGTTGATGAATCATGCTAATTCTGGTGGTATTAAAATTGTAACTCATTTTGTAGACAATTGATCGCTCTATAAACTGCGTTAAAACTGTTCGATTATAACACGATTTGGCTGCGTGGTAGCTATTTTACTCTTAACCTAACAAATTTCAATAACTTGAATATTTTTACCATTAACTTATGACTTCAGCCTCTTCAAATTAGCCTGACTTGTTCAGATTTTTCTGCTCGTTCGATTCATGTGTAAGTCGGATTTTTAAAATAGGGAGCAGAACAAGAAAAAATTCAAGTATGATAAAAGTCTACTATTTCGATTTTGTTGTCTGGGGCTTATTGTATAAAATCGGTAACTCACTCATTTTTAGGCTCTAAAGTTTAAAAACTTGGGTTCATAGATAACTCTGAACGCTTTATCTAATAAGATCATAAAAGATCGTTTTAATTTTGAATCCTTTGGAGGATTCGTAGTCATATATTTAGAGTAGGATCGACAGGCATATTAGGATATCATTCGTATTGATATGTGCAATTAGCCATTTATAATAGAATTGTTTTATAATTAGTTTTTGTAGAAGCAGTAGAAAATCGTCTTTAGTTTAAAACGTTTTGGAAATTTAAGGTTTTTTGCTCAAAAGTAAGGTGGTTTTCAGCTTTTCCCAAACATTTCAGATTTTTCAGATGAAATCTCACAACATCTTGATTTTTCTGCGTGCTCTTTCGAACTAGAATACTAAGATCAAAAACAAAATTTTGTCTCCGATCGGTATAGTCGGTAATCACACGTGCTGTTTCTTAATCATCTTTTTCTAGGTAATTTTCCATGAATGCTGCGATATCCAGTTGATTGGTATTTTTCAAACCGTGAATGACTTGTTTTTGTATATCACGTGTTTTATTTTGAGATAATTTATATTTTCCATAGATTCTTGTTATTCTTATTCTAAAACCAACAATTGATTTTCGTTGACTTAACAATGCCTCGGGTGTATAATAATCTGACCAATTCCACATTGTGGTCATGTATTTTTCTTCATAAAAATTTATTAGATCATTCATGACATCTTGAGGTGGAATACCAGATGGAGTATCCAGTATCGCTTTACCATAGACGTGAACATTTGCATAATTCCATGTTGGAACTATAAAATAGATAGGCTACAAGTTTACCAGTAGCAAAATGAACTTTTCTTTAAACTCACCATTTATATGTGATGGTAAATAGAATTGTGGTGATATGTAACCATGTGGACCATGAAATATGACTAATACCTCGGAGTTTGTCGATAAATATTTGTATATTTCATTATTTCTTGCTACATGTGCAATTAACTCACCATATTCACCCGTTTGTTTATCGATTAAGAATGGTATATGCGATGCAACTGGTACGTTAGAATCGGGGTGTACAGCAATCAATGTGCCAAAACCATATTGTTGAATAAAATTATAAAGTGTATCTAACTCTTCTTCTTTATTGAAGTCAGCAGTGTAAGAATGTGGCAACAATGACGATGAGTTTGACGTAGACAATTGAACATTACTAAATTTTCTATAGAGAAATTTTGCAATCGAATGTAGAGAGTAGATCACAGATAACATCTTAAAAAAAACAATATTCACTATGAAATTCAGTTAAACAAATAGAAATATCGGTATAAAGGTGAAGGCTTTTGTTCTTCAGGCAATTTTCAAAAAAAAAAAATGTTTGTATGACAGTAACAGCTGTAATAATACACATTGAATTAATCGAAAAAGACAAGTTTCATTAGTAAATAATGACGTTTTTTCTTTTTAATGTATTGTGATACCCTTGTATCTACGTAGATTTAGCCTAAATTACATTTATTTACTTCATAAATAGAAAAGAAAAGAATAAATTCTGTCAGAAAGGAGCCAACTCTTCGATTATCAATATGTATTGGAAAGGTTTACTCTCAGTTTGTCCCAATTTTCTTCTCTGTCAATTCACCCCATTTTTTAAATACTTATTCTGCGTAAGCTCTCGTATATTTAACTTAACTTCGAGAAATGGAACCGAAAAAATATTATTAATACATTGAATACACTGAAAGACTTGTTCTTCACGTGATAGATAAATAAATTTATAAATATGTGGATGAACAGGAAATACACTTTCTAAACGTCTGTTATACCGCTGGAGGTGGTTTACTTTTTTCGGTTTCTGTGAAACTTAACATTGCAAACTTCAATCACACGACAACTTTTGGTCAAAGGTAAAGTTCTACTGTCTGCTTTAGACACGTTTCCGTACATATTTATTTTATTCTGTCTGACATGGACAAACCCTTTGTTATTTTGTAGAACACAAAGAGAACTTACGCAGAGTAAATATTTAAAAAGTAGGACGAATTGAGACTAAAAGAAGTGGGACGAACTGAGAAAAATGTTTGTGGGGCGAATTGAGAGGACACGATAGGAAATAGTATAGAAAAAGATGACCAGACAAGAAGAGAACACAATGAAATATAAAACAAACTTTTGGACAGCACAATATATTCAATGTGCTTCTGGTTGTTTTTAGTCGATTTTTTAGCGGTTTTTTTCGTAAATTATATTTATTTTCTTCGTTATTTCTGATGCCTGCAACTTTGCAATTAAAACTCATGGAGAGCTGAGCGACCCCTCATTTCATTCAAAATTTTATGCTCTTTTAGATGGTTGTATTGAAAATCTTTTCAGCAGGACTTAGAGCTCCACTGCAGCGGTTTTCTAGAAAACTTTCTTCAGAATATTTTTTCTGGACTTTTGTCACATACTGCATCTAATAGAAAACTTCAGGGGCTGTCCAAATCACTATTCAGATTTGACGTAGTTGCTCGGTAGAATTTCAAAAATATAGTGATTCTATAATTTTGGCCACCACTACAATATGACAGAGACCTCAAAACGCAGAGAATTCTTTGTCTTATTCGCTTTCAATTGTTCCGTTTCTTGGACTTGAGTTTGATGTGCCTCTAGTCCGATCGATTTAAGTTCTAAGGTAAATGAACAAAAATTTTGATTTTTTCACTTCTTGTTGAAAAAATCTATCTCAACTCGTATTCTTCAAAATACTATATAATGATTCTATTCTGACAAAGATACTGAGAAAAACAGATAACTTCATAATTAATAAAAATCATGTATTTGTTTTTTCTCAAGTGGCTCATGTATTTGTTATTGATAATACTGTCATATACACGGACGAGTTTAGAATATATTCTTTACAAAGTATTGTTAAGGGTCAAAATTATCTCCGACACATTACATCCGATCTTGACGAAACTTTTCATAAATGTTAGGCACAATGAGTTACGGAAATCAAAAACTCTTCTGTCTCCAAGTCTTACGCTTTAGGAGCTTTCCAGAGATCAAGATTCAAAAAGGACCCTGAAGCGTGTCCTAAGATTTTTTTTATATACTTCAAGCTGGAGAGTTCGGGTTTGTTTTATTTTAAACTAGACACCTAACTACACGGACTGACCAGCGCCAATTTTTCAATTAAGCTTTTGCTGGTTTTCCAGGCAACCAACAAATTTCAAAAAAACTCGAAAAATCCTTCTGAGTTTTCTAAAAATCCTGAATTTGACAAAAAACTAAGACGTAATTCGAAAATGGGCGCCGATCAGTTCATGTAGTTTCGTTTCCTCTTTTAAACAAAAAACAAGGAACTCTCTACGACAAACCGTTATTAAAAATCTTGGAACACACTTCCGGTATAACTTTCATGTAGAGAAAATGCTGCATTAAACGCTGTATAAAATTCTCAGTTTTAGGACTTCTAGGAAAATGCCTGTAACTTTTTGATGCAAGGTCATTCAAAGTTGTGCGAGGTCTTATTTTGATCAGAAACGTTTGTTCTACGAGTCAACCTTTAAGGATCCCTTAAACATTTTTATGAAATCGAAAGTTAAGAAAATGATAGATTGCAAACTCATTTAATAAAAAATATAAGAAATATCAAAAATAAATTATGTTTTAAAGTACCCAAATAGTATCATCTTTTATTTTTCAAAAAGGCAACTATAAAGTTAAAGAAAAAACAGTTAATAAAGGCAACTATAAAGACTACAAAACGGGATATGTATGAGCTTGTAGAGGAAGCCTTCCTCTATTCAGTGGTGTCTCACTCTTCATATGTGAGATTGCTGATGTTTTTTGATAGAGTTATGATCATTTTGAACGTTATATCACAAATGTGACTTTTTCAAAAAACATGATGAAAAGTTGGGAGATATCTCATTTTGTAGAGAAATGTTTATTCTACAAGACTGACTGTTTCAAAAGTTTATCAAGTACTGGATGAAAGAGAAAGAAGTTTCAAATGCAAAAAAAGTAGGATTTTTCCAGCGTAAAGTAACAAATTGTAAAAAATGTCGTATCTCTTCAACGGAGGGCCTAGGATAAGTGGGAGTGATCTTATTTTGTAGAGGACATTTTACTCTGTAAAGCACAATATTTAACACAAAAATAAAATATATTTCTAAAAAGAAGAGAGATTACCTTTAATTTTCTCTAACGGTACACATTAGGGTTCGATAGTATATACACTACTGGATAGAGGAAGTCTTCCACTACAAGCTCAAACATATCCCATTGTGTAGCCAAAAATCACAGTAAAATTTATAGTTGTCTTTCTTTCAAAAAAATACTGTTAAAATATCGTCTATTGCTGTTCTATTAACGAATTTTGATAATTAAAGAAAATAACAAAAGAAAGTAATAAATAAACGTACATGATATTCTAAAACCAATGCGGCTATCATGTTAAGAATTTTAATAAAAAGTTTTAATAAAATAATAAAAAATTAAACAATTAAAATTTTAATTCGATATTTCGACCTATTAATACGGTCATTTTCAACTTTCTCTTCGCACAGGATATTACATAAAAATTGAAAACAAAAATAACTGATTATAATATATATATCTGATGTTTTTCTAATCTGGGCACACACATTACAAAGAAGACTGAAATCCCATGTGCATGACGAAGAGAGAAGGAAGAAAGAGAACGAGATTATGATATATAGAGAATATTGTTACTTGTATATTTTATATATAAAGAATAGGCCTATAGCATTCAGATAGAGATATACATATATCTCAGATATATCTCTCTATTGACATTTGCTTCACATTTCTCACGTTTTCTTTACTCTTCCACTGCCATTTTGTCACTGAAAGAACAAAATGCGAGCCTCTAACTGTTCTCTTTTTCTTCTACACAGAAAAAAAAACGTGACAAATGTGAAGCAAATATCAATAGAGCCTTAGCGTATAGCACATTTTAATGCAGTGCATATGTCGACATTCAGACGCATTTATTATGGTAGAGCGAAAAAACATCCTCTTCTTTCCTTCCACATAGGCTACCTAATGTCACATTTGTATTCCTATATGCGAATAAAAAAGATGTGCTATACGCTAAGGCTCTAATAGAAATATATCTGAGATATATGTATCTGAATGCTAGAGGCCTAATAGATTGAAATTGAAACGAAAACGCTAGTGTTGATTTCGTTTCAATTTCAACCTATTCTTTATATATAAAATAAAATATACAAGTAACAATATTCTCCATATATCATAATCTCGTTCTCTTTCTTCCTTCTCTCTTCGTCATGCACATGGAATTTCAGTCTTCTTTGTAATGTGTGTGCCCAGATTAGAAAAACACCAGATATATATATTATAATCAGTTATTTTTGTTTTCAATTTTTATGTAACATTCTGTGCGAAGAGAAAGTTGAAAATAACCGTATTAATAGATCGAAATATCGAATTATAATTTTAATATTTTAGTTTTAGTTGTTTAATTTTTAAATTACTTTATTAAAACGATGGCAGCATTAATTTTAAAATTTTTATTCTTAACTTTGCCCATAAACTCGAAAAATGTTACAATTGATATTCATAATAATGATTGTTTTTCAACGGGTTACCTTTTGTTATAAATAATTTTCTTTCGTCTAATTTCATTATCAAACTGGTACAAGTTCCAGCATTACCAATAAATTCTTTTTTATATGGACGAAGAATGGGATAAGCTTCTTCTTCATCACAATCTAATAGAATAGATTTCATTGGTGTATTTTTATCTAGTAGATATTGCGCTCGTTTAAAACGAGTCAAAGAGTTATTTAATCTATTTCCGTCCGAAATATGATTGTTTTCAGTTGATAAAAAATGATTTGTATGTAACATTTGATTATCGATTACATTTACACTATTACCAGTTAATTCAACATCAACACAATTTCCTTTATCATCACCAATCAGAATATTACCTCCACAACCTAAAATAAATACATTAACAGCAAGTGCTTTCTTAGGTAAAATTTTCTTTCTATCTTTGTTTATTCTTCATCTTTGCAAAACTACTGTATCTCTAGTGTGAGTATAACGACGAGCCAATGGATCTTAGGTCAAAGAAAATCTTCTACTCTCCAGACGAATCGACGTAACATCCACAGTTGAAAAGATCTTGATGAAACTGGACGAGTAAGAATTTCAGGTCATAATCTGTACACTAGACATATCAAAACATCTTATCGTAGTGCAACTAAGAGCTCCGGAAAACTAGGGATTTATTATTAGCAGAGCAGGGCAAGCCCGGAACTTTGCAAGTCACTAAAAAAATATTCAAGTTAAGTCAATTCGAGATGAAAAAGAGTTTTCTCTCAAGTTAAGCCAAGTCTGGTTAAAAATCAGTCAGAACATAAAATTTGCTAACGCCTTTTGAGTGAGAGACAGGTTTTATAGTTTTAGATATTCTGTTTCATGGGAAAAAATGCCTAATTTAAACAGAAATTTCTTATTAGACAATTGACTTTTTCAAATTTAGCCACGGTCACGACAAAAAAGAGTCGTAAGTCAAGTCACACCCTAAAAATTTTTCGATCAAGTCAGACTTGACTTGAATTTGAGGCATTTTTGACTTGACTTGTCCAGCTTTGATGATCAACGAATTAAAATGAAAACAACGTTTTTAAAAACATATCTGACAGACACACCTTTCTATTACAGCATCTTTCGCGTAAATAGCACAACAAGTAAAGATAAGTATATGTAAAGAAACTTTGAAAATGAGTGGTTATTTGATTTTTAAAAAAAGGTGACTTACATCACTTTTTCAATGTAAAATATCTCACTTCAATGACAAGATAAATTTGAAGAAAATATTTGAACGAGACAAAAACTGAACAAATATGTGTGTTTACCAAAGTTTTCGAATTAAAGCATACTGTTTTATTTCACTTTTTCTGAAACTTTCGATCTTTCAGAATGCAATTTTTCTATTATTGATAATAGTTTCAACAAAAATCTTTTTGAACCCGTCAGTCAATAGTCTGTTCAATTCTGAATAAAACGAGACGTCTCTGAAGTTTCTAGTATCTTCCAGTAAAGAACTGTAAGGAAAATGCAGAACGAGTCGAATTTTTGCAACAGGCACGAAAATTTCAGCCTAAAAAAAATTCGGCCTTCCGCATTTTCCTGACAGTTCTTTACTGGAAGGTACTAGAAACTTCAGAGGCGTCTCGTTTTATTCAGAATTGAATAGACTATTGATGCATGGGTTCAAAAAGATTTTTCAATGTATCCCAAATCCGTTTGGATTGCTAGAAACCTGGAGTTTTCTGGAGACCTGTTTAAAAAAAAATTAATACGAGTATTTTCCATAGATCTATATAGATCTCGACATCTTCTTTCATTTGAGACCAAAGCTCGTTAGTTCCTCTATAAACTTTGCTCAAGACACTTTTTATTAGCCCCGCTCTAAATTCGCAGAAAGTTGCACTTGAGGAGTAGTTTAGAATTTAGCGCTTTTTTATATCACAGCGTTACCACTCTAAAAAGGTTTTCCGGAAGTTCGGGTCTTTAACCAAAAGTCTAAAGTTTAAGCAAACTTCTACGTCAGTGCATATAGTGTTCTAAAACTGAACCGAAAATCAGGATCAAAAATCGAATCGACTGATATGTATATCTATCCTATCCGAGTACTTTAAATTTCTTCAAATTTTCACGTTGAAAAATCATCGAGGTGTTCATCGAAAAAAATGAAAATCAAATAGGAATTTCGAAATACATAACAATCGATTCGATTTTTGATCCTGATCCGAATATGATGTTTTTATTACATAGAAGTTCAGTTCTGTTAGAGAAAATTCAGTAATATGAGCAGAAGTTCTGACTTTTTCGACTCTAATTTAGAAAAGAATCCATAGAAACCAAGATTCCATAATACGTACACATTGTCAAACCTATACACTTGTTTAGTTTTTAATCTTCTATCCACTGGCGTTCGAATCAAGTTTTCATCTTTCTGAGCTGGGCTATTTCAATTGTAAAAAAAGTTGAACTTATTAAATTATAAATTGATGTCAAAAATTGAAAATTTGATTTAGAAACATGATGTTCTTTTTAAAAATATTCGTCTTCCAACCCTGAATCTAAATATTATCTTCAAAATATTCCATCTCTTAACGGCGATATTTAAAAGTCATTTTATTCAAGTCCTATACGCCAAAAACCACGGTTTTCTGGAAGTCCTACTTTCAAAGGTTTTGAAACGTAACGCGGCTCTTTGAAAAACTATCGTTCAGAACAACGTACGACTTTGTTACTCCATATTTTGTGAAATTTTTCTTTCAATATCAAGCCAAGTCCAAGCTTTTCCGAGCTCAAGCTCGAACTTAACTCGAGTCGAAGCTTGGGCTTGAAACATCCCTACATAGTATGGACCCTTTAAGAAAACAGGTAGCATGCACATGAAAGAACGTTCTTAATGTCATAGCAACTCATGAAATCAACTCTCTGGAACAAGTTTAACTCACCTGTTCCATTTAATTTTAATATTTCAACTGCGTTTTGAATCGTTATTGACGAATCTAAGATTGATCGCAATAGAATATGTAGAGGTATTGAATCATTGACAACTGTAACTGGTTGAACAAAGTTTAAACACACACCAATTCCAGATGAATTAAAACCAATTTTTCCTAATACACCTGGTTCTGTCAATTGTAGAATATCCGAATTTAAATAATTAATAAACGCTAAATGTTCAAATTCTTCTGCCCAGTCCCAATTTTGACCTAATAATCGATCTGTTTTTGAATATAATGCTGTACATTCATTCGTTTCTAATAGTAAATGATTTATAATTTCTGATCGTATATTTAATGCTATAATCCATAGTGGATGAACATTAGAACTAATTGAAATAGCATCTAATTCATCGATGTAAGATGCATTATATTGAGATATAATTGATCGATAGTGTTCGCATTTGGAAAATAGAAATTGTTCACTATAGGATTTATACGTTAAAAAGTGTTTTTTATAAAAATCAATTGTTAAATGAATACGATCTTTCAATAACAAACCATGTTGATGGCCAATATCACGAGGAGAATTACCAGTAAATTTAACTACAGGTAAAATTTCATTTGGATCAACTGAAGAAGACGACATGATCAATTATCAGAATTTATATAAAACAAACAAAACAACGATGATGAAAGAACGGAGTAGGGAATTTGCTTGATAAACTTCATAGACTCTGTAGAGTCCATCTGTGCTTTATTTAAAATAAATTTTTCGACGGTCATAAATTAATAGATCTCAGTTTCATATTTTAGGACTAAAACTCCAAATTTAATATGAATAAATAATTTTGTTTCGACGTTTTAGAAATTTTTATTTTGTATCAGGAAATCACTCTCCAATTTTCCAATTTATAGCAAACAAGTTAGATAAAAGAAGTGGAAGAAATACTAGCATATATAACACTTACAACGGTCATTTTTATTTTTAATTTTTCTCTTCGACTATACTAGCTAGAACAAATGTGAAAAAAGATTTGAACAACTAAAAGAGTTTATAATCAGATGAAGCGTATATGAAAATTCCTGCAAATCAGGTCCGTGGAAAACTAAGATTTTAGGAAACCCAAAAAAATCAAGTCCTACGATTTCAACGGAAACTTTGTGTAAATAGCCCATTCGTGTAGATCAAACATTTCTGAACAAAACTAGACGTCGTCGAACTCTCCAGGACGATTTTTCATTCAACTGCATTCAATTTACAAAAGGCCCCTCGATTGTTCTCACTATCAGTTTTACACTTTTTCCAGCGATTTTGATGCGGAGGGACCTTTCGTAAATTGAATGTAGTTTGATGAAAAAACGTCGTGGAGAGTTCGGCAGCATCTAGTTTTGTTCAGAAATGTTTGCTCTATACGAATGAGCTATCTACACAAAGTTTCCGTTGGAATCGTGGCACGTGATTTTTTTGGGTTTCTAAAATTTTGCCGTTCCACGGACCCGGTTAACAGAAATTTTCATATGCACCTCATCTGATTATAAACTCTTGCAGTTGTTCAAATCTTTTTTCACATTTGTTCTAGCTATTATGGTGAAAAATTAAAAATAAAGACGGACGCTCAATTTTGGCCGACACTCTATAATAAAATACACAAGAAATACTCGTAGGAGTCATGTATAAATCACTATTACTCAGTGAGAAAAAAAGAATAGCTATTCTTCTCTAAATCCTCCCAATGTGTCCTTGATTCAGTGTTCACTGTTTAACTTTAATTTTTACTGCAGCTTTGTCACTTTGAACCTCGTCAGGATAATAGTGGTTCATACATGACTCATATTTCTTGTGTATTTTATTATATATATCTATATATTAATATTTTTTCCACTTCTTTTATCTAACTTGTTTGCTATAAATTAGAAAAGTGTAAAGTGATTTCCTGATAATGCAAAATAAAAGTTGTAAAACAAAAGTTTTTATCTATATTAAATTTGAAGTTTTGCTCTTAAAATATGAAATTTAGAGCTGTTTGTTAAATTTCTATTATTTATTCGAAAAATTTTACCCATTGAAAAAAACAAATTATAAATTAATAGACGCTACTGATAAATAATAATTTCAAGTCTGAAGTGTGTTTGTCAGTAGTCGAGCGTGTATAATCGTCTCAAATATCTAAGAACCTATTGGAAGACTGAGCAGTGTGCTTTCTACATGTCTATAGAAGACTTCCACAGTGTGCAAAAAACAAAATTAGATAATTTATTTATATGTGAAACAGGTATACGAGTGAATATTTTGAGAATAAACTCTTCATCAATAAATATTCATACCAATTATCGATCTAAAACAAAGAAAAAAGTACTTTGTTTACAAAAAATATAAAAAAATCAATTACAATTAGACAATAGAATGTTTTAAATAAGACAATGGAAACTCTTCCGTTTGACATACTCTTCTGGAAGAAGGATTACTTCTCTTCGAAAAACAAATCAAGATTGACATTCACTTCTCCTCTAATAACAAAGTTTTCAACGATTTCATACTAAATCGTATGAGTCACCGAAATTTTGGTTAATGTTTTCGCGTAAAACTTGTAAACAGTTTCATAAGTTTTCACAAAACCATATAGATGATTTTATAAAGAAACAGTACTGTTTTGCCAGTGCTGGAAGTACTACATGACCATATTCTTTCCTTCAGTTTAAGTACATAGTTTGATATGTAGTCACACGACTATGCCTAATGTAATCATCAAAAGCCAATTAGGGTATTCATCGACGCGCTTGAAATAAAAAAATTGCTTCTTGTTTTTCGTTCATTAAACCTTCGTTCATTAAGCGCCAATGTCAACATACATCACATTGAAACTGATGCTGAATGAAAACTTATCTTGACCTTCGTCAGAGCACATACTAGTAATAGAAAGAAAGAAAGCACTTAAATCGAACATATGCTATCACGGCTTGTATATAATTGGTCGTTCCTGAAGGCAACCAGTAACTAGATATGTAGGAGCGCTGTTGTTCACTGCAGTAATCCAGTTTGATCGTATAACACAGCTTAAAGAAACTTATCATAGCAGACTCATTCTATATGTTCCTCACAGCCATATAGTGAGACCAAGTGGACGCAACTGGTTAGTAGATGTATAAGGCGCGACGTAAACTCCACTGCATATAGCTTAAGAAACTTTAGTGTTTACTATAAAATTCATGTATATTTCTTCTTGATTTTGTAATACTTTGTATATATTCACAACTTCATAGATTCTATGGTCTTTTTTATTTTTCTTGTCAGGTCGTCCGTTGTTGTGTGAACTCTTCCTCATAAAGTCCAATCGGTGAACAGACACTGTTACTCTCATTTTGACATCCATCTTATATATATACAGTGGTTTCATAACAATGATATAAAAACAAACAATTGTCATCATTAACAGCAATAGTATCACGATTCTCTGTTTTTGATATTTGGATTAACGTTTTGTTTTACACTCTTGTGTAAATGTAAGTGCAACTATTTTCACACTTACAATAACTTCAAATTTTTCTCCTTCTGATCATAGTTGTTGAAGGAAGAATTTGTGGCTGTATTTGGTCATATATGCGATGGCTACGACTCTCATACATAAAAACAAAATGTGAAGAAAATTTTTCACTTAAGTTCTCGCAATATCTTGAGTGGATTCACTCAAGGCCTTGTAATTTCTGTTCCCAAGATCTTGAGTGAAAGATTCAAGAATCCAAGGTCTTGAAACATCTTGGCTTAGTCCACTCAAGATCTTGGCCAACATCTAGAGTGGAGTAAGCTAAGATGTTTCAAGATCTTGAGTGGAAGATACAAGAATCCAACATCTTCATTTCCTGATATTTTTTCCAAGATCTTGTGACATTTCTTAGCCCAAGATCTCAGGTATAAGAAGTTTCACTAGGGTGTCTCGTTTAAATGAGAGTATAAAGACATCTTTACACAGTAGAAAACATAAAAGGTATGCGTATATCTCAAGAAACTCAAGCGCATGAAGTCAAAAATGCGCTTTGTATAAGTTAGAAATGTCTTCTTTCATGAGTAAGAAAGTCACTGCGCTCGTGAATAAAAGATTCAGTAGAGGAGATATTCAATTTTCTACTCGATACTAAGTCAAAGTGCGATCACTGATTGGATTCTCGTGTCGTGCGTTCATTTTCTCCACTTACACGCTGTTAGAAGTCTTGTGAACTATACAGTACATCAAAAAAGTCTCTCTCTTGCTTTGTGTGTGGTAGAGAATCCTGTACAGCTGGGCTACAACACCATCTTTAAGTTAACCAGTGTTTTCTTTTTATGTAAACTATGTCGTTAATCGCGTTTAGCCTTTTTGTTATCATCAAGGAGTGAGAATTAATTCCTCATTACCGATATTCTTGAATAATGGTTGCAAGCGAATACAAAAAGTTCAGACGAGATATGCATTGGTGCAAAGTGCGCTAACAAGGCATTTTAACATTATTTGTTCGATATTTTACGCCTGGTAGTATACATAGCATTTCAAACAGTAGATTTGCAGCTAGTAACGCCGTATTTCCGGATGTATCATACATTGGGGATACTTCCACAAGATCACATCCGATTACTTTTAAACCTTTTAAACCCCGAATAATTTCTAAAGCTTGAATTGTTGTTAAACCACCAATTTCTGGTGTACCGGTGCCTTGAGCATACGAAGGGTCCAACGAGTCAATGTCAAAACTTAAATAAACCGGTCCATCTTTCATTTGATCACGCACTTCCGTCATTAATGGTGTTGTTAATGACCGGTGCCAACATTCTTCTGCCTGTACAACACGAAATCCTTGTTTACGCGCCCAGTCGAAATCATCAGCAGCATAGCCTGTACCACGTAGACCTATTTGTACGACACGTTCACAGTCGAGCAAACCTTCTTCAACAGCTCTACGAAATGGTGTACCATGAGCTAGTTTCTCACCAAACATTGTATCATTAATATCAGAATGAGCATCGACATGAATCAGACCTATAGGTCCATAGTGTTTTCGAACAGCACGCAGTATCGGTAGCACAAGAGTATGATCTCCACCCAACGTTAAAGGAATAATACCGTGTTTAAATATCCGTTCATCATAATAGTTTGTAACTATATCGACCGATTTTTGAAGATTAAATGTATTTATTGGTACATCACCCGCATCAGCGACTTGAAATGAGTCGAAGGGTGCAGCGCGTGTAGCCATATTATATGGACGAATTAAACACGATTCCGCTCGTATCGATCGTGGACCATAACGAGTTCCTGGCCTATTCGATGTTCCAATATCTAACGGAATACCGACAAAACATACTTTGACATCTTGCGAGGGTAATTGGACACTTGGTAAACGAAACATGGTGGTAGGACCACCGAACCTTGGCATGTCATTTCCGCCTAGTGGTTGATTGAATAAAGATCTGTGTTGGAGCGCTCTAGTTCGACATAGACGAATAATGGTTTTTAACATTCTTGCTTGAAAGACAAAATTGTTCTCTTCTATTCCACTATATTCATTTTTTATCTCTATTTACTTTTCATGTTAAACATGAATAAACTACTGAGACACACATGTTCTTATTCAAAAGTACGTATCTTGAAGGATTAACAGTACCTACTCCATTCTTTTTTCACCTTGTTTAAGAATGGAGAAAAAAGGCTATAATGACATGAAACGCTTCTAGGCAAAAAAATCAAAAGAAATTTTTTGTACCTAGTTTAGAAATTTTTTCATATAAAATTTAATGTCTTCAATCGAACTACGCTACAACCAACTCTTCATATAAAAAAACTGAAATTTTCATCGAAATTTTAAGAATGCGGCAAATAAACCGAGAAAAAACTTTTAGGACATATATTTCGAAAAGGTATTCTCTAGAAACTTAACGGGCATACAGATTCTCCAGTGATCATTCTGAAACAAGAAAAAAGTGAGTTTTAACACAATAATTACTTGCAGCTTTCCATGGGTTAACCTAACTTATCCAGAAATCCCTCTTTCAGAGAAATAAAGAATTTTCAAGAAAGAATTGCATTTAACTAGACACAGGATTAGATATCCATTCAGACGTTCACCTAGTAAAAAGACTGGCCGATTTTGACTGGAAGTCCTGGAAGTCGACTGGCTAGTGTGCCATTTCGGGACTAATCATCGACTAGTCGGTAACTAGGCAGAATAATCTAATTAGTGCAGACCGGCCGCAATCGCACGTTTCGACTAGGCCCAAAAAGATATTTAAAATTAAGGTTAATTAATTAATTTTTTGACCTTTATCAGTTGGAAAAAGTTCAGTGTTAAAGTTTGAATTTAAAGAATAGAGAAAATAAAGTGAAATTAGAAAGAGACTTTCTTGAGATCCCCTAAAGAACCATGATCCCGTAATATTGGAATCACATCAAACCCCTACGTTTGTTCAAATTTTAATTCTCTAGCTAACCGCGTTTGAACCAAGGTTTCACCACTTATCTGAACTGAGCTATTTCAAGTTTAAAAAAAGTTGAACTTCTTAAATTTCAGATTAAACTCAAAAACTGAAATTTTGAGTTGAAGACTTGATCTTTTTCCCTCAAAATGTTCGCCTTTCGACGCTGAATTCGCTATGTCATTAAAAATGTTTCATGTCTTAAGAGTTTTTAAAAATTTTTATAAATCGTTTTAAGAAGTACAAGTAACCCAAAACTACGGTTTTCTAGAAAACCCTACTTCCGAGAGTTTTAGAGAAAACTTTCTAGAGAAGAAAAGAAAGAGGATGTTGAGAAACCCTTAAGTGCCAAGTTTCATAAAGTTTAGTTTAGTGATTATCGAGATATCCTAGATCAACTTTCTCGTGTAGCACGCTTATTTCGTTATTTCTGAATGAAAATGAGTGAGAGTTTCTCCAGGATTGCAGAAAAGAATATTCTGCATCTTTTTATAAGCGCAATTTTTTTGTGAGAGGTGTTCTTCTAGTAGTAACTGATTTCCAAGAAACTCTTAGCTTTCTAGCTATTACATCGTCGTTTCCATTAGGTATGCACCGGTATCGGTATTCATATCGAAATATCGATACCGACAATACCGAACTTCGGTATATACCGATACCGAAAATACCGACTTTTTTCACTTAGAATTTTTGGGATTTTTTTATTTGAAATAAGATGTTTTAGCGTCCTGGACACCCAGAATGAATCAGGGACGGAAAACAAGAGCTTTGTTTGCTTTCTAAAGCCAAAGTTTTTCTTTTCTTTCTATCTGAACATGCTCAAAATACACAGCTGAGTGT